GCGCCGACTAATTTGTTTTGAGTAATTTGTTTCTTTTCTGCCCCCACCCCCCCTTTATTCATGTGGGCACACATGAGTGAGAGAGAAGCACCTTCCACAGGGCCACCCTAGGGCCAGGGCATTCCACAGTCCCCTTCCTCCAGTTGTCCAGTCCGGCTGGACCTTGGGCGCTTCCCTACCTTGTTTCTGGCTGACCAGACTGGGAGTCCAAACCACAGTTGCCGTGTGAGATCCAGCTTCTGCTGAGCAGGGCAGTGCTGCTACACCAAGGAACTGGCCCGCATGAACAACGTGAAAGGTGGATTGGAACAGCTGTACAGACAGGTGGGAGAGCTCCTGGCCAAGTATCCTTTAGATCTCATCTCGCTAGTATACGTGTGACCAACGGGAGCTACAAAGCCTTGTCAGTCACACTATAATCAGAACGAGTGTCTGGAAACAAGCGTCCCCAGCGTCCTAGTTCTTTGTGATGGCCACAGATGACGGTAACTTGGGGCACTGTAGTAGGTTCGTTAGGGTTCACCTAGGAAAAGGGAACAAGGGTTTAGTAGAGGGTGAACATGTTGAAATTGTGGTTCAGCGTATCAGTTTAAGGAACAAGATGGGTTTTTGTGCTGAGGAAAATGTGTGGACTCAGGGAAACAGCTCTGCCGTTTACTACCTATGAGACTGAGCGTCAATTTCTCCCCTGTTAAATAAGGATACTTCATCTTCTTCACAGGGTTATTACAGGATTGAAAATAACAGCTATATCAAATACAGTGACAGGTGCATGTAGCTATTTACTAAATGTATGATTGCAACAAAACAATTGAGCAGCTACTATATCCACGCCAGGCACTGCTTCAAGCCCTAGAGACACAGTGAAGAATTAGACCAAGTCCCAGTGGTCAAGAAGCTCACATTTTAAAGGGCAGTGACAAACAAAAAGCCAGTAATCCCATGTAACATATGCCAGGTGCTAAATGCATTTGAGGATATGATGCAGGGTGCAGGGGGCTCCTAGCACTCAATGCTCCTTTCTCTCCCACTCCTTGACAGGGCACCCTGGGGATTATCTTCTCAGAGTCCCTTGAGCGCTACCTTCCTTAAACTGTGAAAGGGGAAATATAACAATGGAATTGTGTGTGATTTTATTTCATTTACAAAAATTAAACTTTAGACAGTCTTTCCAAACTTTGATTTGCTTAGGACTTAAAAGCAAAGAAGAACAAGGCAAGCTTGCTGGAAGGCTTACTGATTTAAGCTTTACAAAATATGTGAAAGTTGTCCAAAATTGTAGATTTTAGGAAAGTAAAAAAATGAACCATATATATTATTACAGGTACAGTAGTAGTGAGCAGAGACTCCCAGGAGGGCTGAGACACAGTGGAGGGAGGCGCCATGCTTTTCTACCTGTGGACACTGCAAATGCTCTGGGCCTCAGTTTCCCTGTCCACAAAATGATGCCGAGAAGCCGTGTAATTCCGTTTTCTCTCTCCTGACACAACTACTCCCACTTTTGTTTTTGAGAACCAAAACATTGATTGTTTCACTCTGATTTTTTCTTTCTTTAAAATCCGATGTTGGACTGCAATACTTTCCTTTTTAGATATAGAAATCTCCTTTGCAATAAAGAACAGTTCCTGTTCCGTCTCAGCTTCTTTCTTGTGATTTCCTCATGTTCTTGTGTCCGGTGATGTTTTGAAAGGAGATATTGGTCACTACTTGGGGTATATAAGTTAAAATGTGATATTAAAAAATCACCCAATCCTGTCAAAGGTGAACGGAATGTCATGGTGGGCTGAGGGACCAGCAAACGTCCTAATGGACTCCCATATTGTCGACTGTGGCTTGTGTCCCTGACCCAGCGGTTTACAATCCACGCTGGGGGCATGTGCATGCATGCCCAAAAGTTCCAAGAGGAGAATGGAGAAGGGATTGTGGCGTGGCCATCCCTGCTGAGGGTAATTTCTTGCTTTCTGTCTCTCTGTCGCTGCCTAGGGGAATGGCCACATTGCAATCCCTTCTCTTCCATCCTCCTCTCAGGATTTTGGGCATGTATGCACATGCATGCAGTTTGAGAGACAACCAATTCTTAAAAGCAATATTGCTTTTAGAATTGTTTTAGTAGGGCCAGCAGGTGGCATGGTAGTTAAGGTGCTGGACTCCGACATGGTTGACCGCGTTTTGCGTCCTAGACCTGGCAGCTTGAAACTCATGGCAGGCGTGCATGTGTGTGTGCCCAAAATCCCAGGAGGAGAAGAAAGGAGAAGGGACTGTGGTGTGGTCATCCCCCTGGGGGTGATTTCTCACTTTCCTTTTCACTGTCCTTCTGGCTCTCTGGTTAGTGCACATACTCGATGGCAAAAAAGAAAAAAAAAAAAAACACCTAAAAAAACCAGTTTAGCATGTCTCATCCTTTTTCAATGCCATCTTCTGGTTTACATTAAAGAACCAAGTTTCCTGTCTTAATATAAGAATTTTTTACTAGCTGGCTCAGTTTTGTTTTTGTTTTTGTTTTTATTGGCCAGAGGACATGTGTGCTTGCCAGAGGCAAAGATAGAGCACCCAGTAAAGGGGCACGGGCACTCCACAACCCCTTTCCCTCCATTTCTTCCTCCTGTCAGGATTTTGGGCATATACGGACAGGCACCTGGCATGATAATTTGTTTTTTAATTTAACTTTATTTATTTATTTAAATTTGACCAGAGAAGGATAGAGTGAGAGAGAGAGAAAGGGAAGGTGAGAAAGCAAGCCACCTGGCCTGGGACTTGAACTGCAGTTGGCCATGTGGGGGTCCAGCACCCTTAACCACCACGCCACCTCCCCTCTCCCCTCAGCCTCTGGGTCTGAGACTGGAACTGCACTGTCAGACATGTGGGATCCAGCTCCTTTAACCACCAGACCATGGAGCCAGCCTCGTTTTTGTTTTTAATATTCTCGGGAGCATGGTCAGGTGGCAAGGAAGCCAGTACACTGCTCATATTTGAGTGAATTTCTCCAAAATCAAAGCCCACATTGTGCAGACACATTCCTTTTCTGAGATGCTGAGGTGGAGTGACCTGAATTGTTACCCAATGAGTGCAGACAGAAAGGCCCACGATTAATTTCAGCACTTGCAAAATATCAGAAGCATTTCACTTTACAGTCTTCTCTTAGCGTTATGTTGGCCACGGAAACCTTAGCCATGGCAGAGCCTTGATGTCACCTCAGACCCTTCGAAGAGCTGATGAGCCAAAACACGCACTTAGAACCACTGTCCTCCAGACCTCCCGTTTGTGCTTTAAACTTCACTTCCTACCATTAGCAGATTCAAAAAAAGAAGAAGAAATTAATCAGAGGGCACATGCACTCACCAGGGACAGAGAGAGAGACGGAGAAAGCATTGCTCACAATGGGGTGTGGTCATGCCATATCCCTTCTCCTCCATTTCTCCTGTCAAGATTTTGAGCACATACGTGCCTGCACACACACACACACACACACACACCTGGTATGTGTTTTGCCGCAAGGGCTAGGTGGGATTTGAAGCTCAATGTTAGGCATGTGGGAACTGGCTCCCTTAACCACTGGGCTTCAGGCTTGACCTGAAATAAACTTTAGATGTCATCCAACTCAGCATCTTTTGAAATAGGAAAATCCCCTTCAACATGTCCCCCTCTGGGTAAATACACACTGAAGTGATGCTGTGCTTCAAGTTGTGCCTTTTCACCTTTGAGTCACTCTTACTGTTAAGGTCACCTGCTTTTTAAGGAATGATAACCCCACTCATTGCATCCCAACCAGGTGAGAATCTAAAAGCTACAGGGAAAGAATTGTCTTGCTACCCCTTTGAAAGTAGTCCCCCAGTCTGACTTAACCTAGTGCCATCTCCTCTCTGAATGACTCCAACGCCCCCTGCAAAACTGCAGTGTGGGCACCACCTGGCAGTTTTTTAGAAATGCAAATTCCAAGCCCAAGCCCAGACCAAAGGAATCGAAAATTCCGAGGGTGGGGCCCAAGAATCCGAGTCTCCACCAGTCTCCACTGTATTTCCCACATAAAATGGAAACAGCTGGCCACCCTCTGGATCTTTGTATAATTAAAAGTATTAGTGTCGCTATGCTCTCTTTTCTTCAACTAAACAATCTCTCCTAATCCTACCTCAATTATCAAGTTTGTTTTTTCCAGCCATCTAGTCACTCACACAATCCCACATTTGCCAAACTGGGGAGGGCGCAGGTAAAGAAGGGACCCACATTCCTCCAGATCTCATCGCTCGGAGGCACAAAGAGAAAAACAGGTCCGGGTGACCACATAAAGCCCCGTTTTAAAACAGCCGCATGCATTTCCCTAAACCCTTAGCCGGAAAAGGTTTTTGTGGTGCGCGACCCCAGCTGGGCGGAGCTGCAGTTCCGCACTTGGAGGCGGGGGCGAGCGGAGGTGCTCGGAGGGTGACTGGCGGGAGTGTTTTTAGTGGTTGCTCGGGGAGTGTCTATCTCGCCCCTCCAGCAAACACACGCACAGAGTTTCTTATCATGAGAGGGGAACCCTGCATTCTGTAGACAAAAAGTCGTAGAAGCAACTTTCGAACCAAAAACAAACATCGCCCTGCAGTCTCCCCAGAGGAAACGGAACGGCCCTGTTTGTCCCTCCGTAACTGAGCAACAGCCCGGCGACGGGGCTGCCTGTGTCTTCCGCGGTG